GGCGCCGAACGTCCACAGGGCCACATACAGGGCATGGGTGGTCACCAGCACCCAGAACTGCACCCGCAGGGAGTAGACACCATCCCCCTCGGGGCAGGGCGGCCCCGAGTTCAGCGTCACCGAGATGGACCCGGAGTCTGTCAGGAGGTCGCCGGTTGCCCCCAGCCGTGGCGGTGGCTCCAGCGGCTCTGGAACGTCTTTCCGGCGTGTAGGTCGGCACTGGAGGCTGAGGCCGGCGCAGAGGAAGTAAATCCAGGTGACCAGCAGGATGAAAGCCACGGGGACGTAGAAAGCTCCCAGGCTGGGTCGCCACACGAGCCAACAGCTGCGCGGGAGGAGAGAGCTCTGAGGAGTTGTGGTGTGGAGGTGCTCAGCACCCCTGCCCTGATGGCACAGGCTCTGTGGAGCCGTGCTGGCTGCCTGGATGGGTTTTTCCCAATATATCATAGAATCATAGAATCAACCAGGTTGGAAGAGACCTCAAAAATCCTCGAGTCCAACCCTACCGTGGTTACTAGACCATGGCACTAAGTGCCACATCCAGTCATGTCTTGAAAACCTCCAGGGATGGTGAATCCCCCACCTCCCTGGGCGGCACATTCCAGTGCCTGAGCACTCTCTCTGTAAAAAAATCTCTTCCTAATAATCCAACCTAACCCTCCCCTGGCAAAGCTTGAGTCTGTGCCCTCTTGTCGTATTGCTAGTCGCTTACGAGAAGAGACCAACCCCCACCTGACTCCAGCCTCCTTTCAGGCAGGTGTAGAGAGTGATAAGGTCTTAACTCTTGGGGAAAACCTCCCTGGCCTTCCCCAAACTTCTCCAGATGCCCAGTGTCACCCTGCCCTGGCAGAGGGAGGCCACCCACTTTTGGAGGAAGGCAGGGTCGAGCAGAGACACTTACTAGGGGTTGTTGTCATGGTAGTTGTGGATGTTGACGGCTGCTGTGATCCCACAGATGATGAGGGGGATCCCACCGGCGATCAGGTAGAACCTGCACGGGGGTACAGTGTCACTGCACACCAGGAGCCCTCAGGAGAGCATGGGATGGACTTGGGGCAGAGGAAGCTCCTGTGGCTCCCGATGGGTAAGGGGTGTCCATACCGCAGCATGGGTCTGGGGGCTGGCTGGGACGTGTCCCCGTCCGGTGGCCGCGGCACCTTCCAGGTCACCTCCTTGTAGAGCACTCGGGCTTTCACCGCCATCCAGAGCAGGGTGGAGAGGGAGGAGTAGTGCAAGATGATGCCAACCTGCAGGAGGAGGGGGAGGTTGGGGATGGGGATGCTGCAGACACAGCTGTGGCCCCCGGTCACCATCCTGCTTTCCCTTGTGGTGCTGGGCTCTCTGCCCATCCCCTCTACCCAGTACCCACCGCCTGGCACACGATCCGGTAGCCGGTGAGGGTGATGCCTCCCGCGAACACGGCAGCTGTCATGGCGATGTGGAAGCAGAGGTTAAGCAGCATGTGCCAACCCTTCCGCGGGATGAGGATGGTGCTGGAAGGGAGAGAGGCACAGCAGGTGCCTGTCAGCTTCTGCCCAGCCCCAAGAGAGCCACAGCTTCCCCCGGCTCAAATCCTGCATCCGGAGGGATGCGCCAACAGCCTGTCCCTGGCCATGGAGCGTGGCTGGTGGAGATGCTTTACAGGTACATGCATGAACGCGGGCATAGGAGCAGGACCAAGGGCTCCAGGGACAGTGCCACTCAGCAGGCAGCACTGTTCCTGGAGTGCCACCTTCTGGGAGCCCATGCACAACCCTCCCAGCCACCACTGCAGGTACTGAGACACTCCCTCACCCGTGGTGGACGATGTAGGTGATGATGGTGGTGAAGAGGCAGAGCAGTAGCACAGCTGTGCAGGTGTACATGGCTGGGTGCAGCACCTCCATGGCACCTCGTGCCTCGCTGGG